CAAAACTCAGTGATGCCCTCCAAGTGAAGACAGGTTGACAGGTGAGACAATGTTGCCGCCTACTACTACTACTACTAATACTACCACCAATCATCTCCGTGATCGTAGTCCACTCGACTCGACTCGACTCGCCTCGACTGGATCATGCAACGAGAAGATGGGTGTAAGCTGTTTGGCCGGTGAAAAGACCCCACAGGATTTCGATCTCACCAATGATGATTTATGTCTAGTGTTTAATGTCTCACTAACTCGAAGATGTATAGGAGAAGACTACACTAACAAGTTTTGAGAAGAGGCTAGGCGAGGCGAGGCGAGGCGAGGAGAGGAGAGGCGATGCAGTGAAGATGGGACATGCTTCCGGTGAACATGGAGAAGATATGGGTGATGAAAATACCCAACCAACCAGTCAGGCAGCAGCAGCGACAACAACAACAGCACCAAGGAGAAGCACCAGTGACCATGAACGGAGAAATGTGGATTGAGTTGTCTCTTTCACCCACGTGTCTGCCTGCATATGTAGCATGGCTTCAGCTACAGTGGGTGGCCGTGACGTTGGCGACACAGATGATGATATCGAATCCAGTATCTGAAAGGCAGCAAGACATTCCTTCCTTCACTAATCTGTGGAGATCAGTGTGGAGATCTACTGCATTGCTCTGCACTACATTGGGCATACAGCATGAAGAAGATTCGGATTCTCAACACTAAGTCAGTCAAGTCAGTGCTTCTATGTGATGGTTGAGAGACTTGGCGCCTCACGAAAAGTATTTCCAAGGAACTGCACGATGCATCATCAACAGCTGCCGCCTACACTCACTCCATACTTAACGTGAGATCAGATGAGATGTGAAGACAGGAAAGAATATTCAAGGAGGAAGTGTGGTCTGAGAACGAACCAAACAACGAAGCATGAAGCTATCGTCCAACAAATATGCAGAAGAAGAAAGCGGAGATGGATTGAAATGGTTTGGATTCTACATAGACTGAGAAAAGTGTTTGGGGACATCACGCCTCAGGCCAGGTTTTCGGGTGGAAGCCAATGGGGAAGGGGCGAGTTGGACGTCTGAGAGTGACATGAATGAGATGTTGTAAGTAAGAAATGAAAGGTTGTGTACAGTCGTGGATCCAGATTGAGAAGACTGTAGAGAAGAGAGTGAAATGGCACTGTGCTACTTAAGCCATAAATTCCACTAGAAACCCAAGTAGCAAATAAGGTAATGGATAGTAAAAAACATTTAGAACGATATCTTGGTTTCAACTCAACATATCCGCTCAGTGGAAAAAAACTTCCACTTGCTCGGAACTTACTCATAGTCGTCACGAATGAAGAATACAGACGGATAGAAGTAAAAAAACTTGACAGATGTGTTGGATTCCAATTAATACCAGCAAAATAGCTTTCAAAAGATTCAAGAGCATGAGTAGAAGGATCCAAGAGTAAAATCATATAATGATTCCTGGATTAGTGTAGTCATTTTACCATTCCCTTAAAGTACAACTGAAAAACTACAAATGATTTTGAGAAAACACAGTATAGCAGCCATCCAGTTAGAAGATGAAATTCCTTTTAACTGCACAGAGAAGTTTATCTACAAATCTGGCTGTATTGATTGTGATGCTTATGAAATGGATGAAACCATTCGATAAGATGCTCATTCGTACTGAAGAACATACAAGTTTCACAAAATGACCGACAAATAATCCTGTAGAACTAGTCGGTAATCGCTGTTCATGCTACCTATTACAGTCTCAAAACTCACATTGAAGATATTAAAAATAATTTAAGCATACCTCGAAATTCTCGATTGTTATACTGGTTGGAATCGCTTGGCCTCTGTTGACTTATGGGGTCCTATGCGGACGCCTTAAGATTGGCTGAATATTTATTCAGGTGATTTACATCTAGCACAATGGAATGCGTATCATAGATTCCACTGCTAGTCACAACCAAATAAATTTACATAATTCAAACAGTTTTCCAAACTACAAGGAAAGGTGAATAGCTGGATCATTTCGCATCATTTTGAATCCTAATCCACTCAATAGAAAGGAATACCATACTATCCAATTAACTTGGAAAGTATATATTACGTCATACAGAAAAATTATGACAGAAGTACATGAAAACAAACAAACCAACTTTGTTATCCCTGATAACTAGTTCATCTCTCATCAAGTGAATATTATAAGCTAGCATAAAGTAAGGCTGATGACTAAAGTCAGTGGAAGTTAAACACTAAGACAAATAATAATTCCATTTTAGAATTTTGTTTGGTACATGCTTTGGAAGGTGGCTCTCGTACCTAGTATATAACCCTCTGGTGTTTGAAGAGATGAGTACTGGGTTGGAGTTTCAGTGGGAACAACAACACTGACTGGCGGCATGGATGTCCGGCTAAGGAGTCCTGAATAGGACAAAATATGCATCCTGGATTCCACTGTTGGCCAGTACACAGTTATACGAGATGACTTCTCGAGTAGAACTGAATGCTTATATTCATACAAAAGTAATCATATGACTTTCAAACTTCCTTTATACAGTAATGATGGCTAGTGGCTAGCAGTGGAATTCAGGGAAGGCATTTCGTCCTATTTTGGACTAATCAGTTGGGTGCACCTGCCTCCCAGTGAGTGATGTTGTCCCCATAGGGATTCGGACTCCTTCATGTAGTTCTAGAGTTGTTCATTCTTGGATTTTAATGCTAGCAAAAGTTTCCAGATGTTGGCAACATATGATTAGTCATTACTATTGCATGTGTTAAGTGTTGACTCAGCGAACGAAGATTCTATGATTAATCTATACCCCTTCTCCCACATAGATTCTAGAATTGTCAGCCTATCACACTAACCTATTGTGCGATTATGGGCCACAGTGCACGCACAGTCATAGTCAAGTTTTTCTCTACATCACTCAACTCAATAGGGTCTACCATTGTGTGTTTCACTGAGTTTTCGTGCTCTGCTACTCGGACTAACATCGACTGGCTGCTGTAACCTATATACCTGACCTCACAGTCATTTCATGTTAGGTATATGATAGATTAGGTTATTCTGCCTAATTGGTTCTACTGGATATTTAGCTGACATTGTTTCTCTGTGAGCGAGTTTGTAGGTTTAAATGCCAGTCTAATCGAAGAACTGTCAAGAATTCTACGTAAGATTTCCATTGAGCCTTCTTGATACAGTAACACTACAGATGATCTGAATTCCCTCTTAGCATGTTGTGATCACCACAAACATTACCACTCCTTTTCTTATCATTCTTAATAAATTTTTCAATAAATTCTGGAGGGTATTTATTAAGAAGGAGTATACCTTTGATGTTTTTCATTTTCCTAATTTAGTTTTCTGACTTACTGTATCACTGCATGCTATGTAAAATAAACAATCTAATATAGAGTTAAATTGATTTAAGTGGTTAAAAATATCCCATTTTCCACTGATGGATCCCTACATAACAATGTAACCAATGTATACCTATTCTGATTAAATAACACCTTGTACGATATGATTGACAGAAGGAAACACAAATTAAATTTTAGAAAAAAGATTAGTTCAGCGAAGAAATATATTCCTTTTTAATTACATCATCTTCAGCTCTACACTAATATATAGTTTTACAATTTAATCAAATTACCACTTCTATATATATTTATCAATTCAGCTGCTCCGGTGAAGCTAGTTACGTTGGGTGTACAATGAGGCATTTGCATCGTGAAATTTATGAGCGCCAACCATCATGGTTGAGCAAGGGACAAATTAGAACAATGAACAGCTCCATACTTCCATACCTAGTTGATATGGAACACCAAGTGGACACTAAAAAAGCTTTCAAAATCATTCATCAGATTCCAACCAATTTACCACATGGATTACGCACTCGCGGTTACTTCACATAGCAGAGGCGATTACAATCCACCTTTATAAACCCGGCCTTTGTGTTGAAAAGAAGTTTGTTCGATCACTTTCATTACCGTGGCCATCAACATGATGTAACTTCTAAGATTACTTTGCACACCTCTTCCCCTTGTCTTTTTATTATTACGTAAATGCTTATTGTGAATGCCTGAACACTCATCAAAAATCATCCCATTTACTTAAGAATAACCTGCTTCATATTTCCAATTTTAGTAACTCTATTGATTATTTACATTATTATTTCCGAAACATTACCACTTGATTGGCAATTTGATTAAATTGTAAAACTATATATTAGTGTAGAGGCGAAGACGAGGATCTAATGGAAAAGAAATTTATTTCTTCACTAACTGTGACGAATGTTGTGGAAGAAGTTGAGAGTAGAGAAGTCAGTGAAAAAATAGTTGGAGCATGTTTCCAGTTGAAAAGACATACTTGTACCGACATCTCAGGGGAGTAGTCCCATCTTGAGAAGAATATTCGTAATTTATGAAAAGATGTGTTTATTCGGTGGGGACAGTAAGTTGTGATATCTGTCAAGAGACCTCGGCACATTAAAGTAATCCAGCTGCTTACTTTATAATACTCATAATTGCAGACCCACTATATTCGTCGTCAATAAAGGAAGGAGTATCGTTGATTCAAAATCTTGTTTTAATTAATACTCTCGAGAATACCTTGACTTTTTATTACTCGTCTCCGTCTTAAAGATGGTGTTAAGCTAAATATGGTATACCGTAGTAAGAATAGAATATCCCTTAATTAACATGTTTAACTAAGCTGTAGTGTGTCCGGATCTGCTGGTACATGCGTATCCCATTTCGATATAGGGATGGAGATCAGTATACATTCTTTGGCAGTTATCCCTAGCTAGAAGAATCATCTTCACTCAATCATTCTTTTTTCCAAATATCTAAATGGGAATACTGAATTTACATGTAGTTTATTCTAAATGGTGTTACATATAACTTTTACTATTCATATTCACATTTATATTAAATCAGTAGCAATGCATCAGAAAATCTTGAGATAAAACTACAGTTTTTTATGAAAACAAAATTGGAAAAAGATAATTCACTTACTGGTTTATTTACTTCTAGAAATAGGACAATATGCCTGACTTATCACCTAAATTAGAATGATACAAATTACATCAGAATTAATCAAATAAAACAAGATGTTTACACTGCAAAACTTTATATTTTGTTCAACTATTAAGTAGTTTTTGGATAGTATATATCACCACCTACTACTACTACTACCACCAATCATCTCCGTGATCGTAGTCCACTCGACTCGACTCGACTCGCCTCGACTGGATCATGCAACGAGAAGATGGGTGTAAGCTGTTTGGCCGGTGAAAAGACCCCACAGGATTTCGATCTCACCAATGATGATTTATGTCTAGTGTTTAATATCTCACTAACTCGAAGATGTATAGGAGAAGACTACACTAACAAGTTTTGAGAAGAGGCTAGGCGAGGCGAGGCGAGGCGAGGAGAGGAGAGGCGATGCAGTGAAGATGGGACATGCTTCCGGTGAACATGGAGAAGATATGGGTGATGAAAATACCCAACCAACCAGTCAGGCAGCAGCAGCGACAACACAACAGCACCAAGGAGAAGCACCAGTGACCATGAACGGAGAAATGTGGATTGAGTTGTCTCTTTCACCCACGTGTCTGCCTGCATATGTAACATGGCTTCAGCTACAGTGGGTGGCCGTGACGTTGGCGACACAGATGATGATATCGAATCCAGTATCTGAAAGGCAGCAAGACATTCCTTCCTTCAATAATCTGAAATCAATTTTTTTTGTTTTCAAATCCTTGAAACAACAAAGCCTTTAGCTATTCACGAACTAAAACTTGATGGGTATGTACAAAGAAGTATATTTAGTCACTGTTCTCACCGTGATCATAACATTTTCCAACCCGCATTAGTTTCGCATCCCATCCCCTTTGTTAGTTTAACCTTTGTATCCTGTTATTATAATTTTTTTTTCACTTTGATTAGTTTCCAGTGTTATTTCACTTAATTATGTTAATCTTTTTAGAAAATACTGATTTCATCTTGATCATCTCGTCTAATGTTATTACAAAATATTTAGTTGATTTATCACTTTCATCAATTTTTTACCCCCTTCTAAGTTACATACCTTCTACGAACCATTTCATATATTATGTAATCTACTTAGTTATCAGTCATACTTCGATTGTCATCATAATCACAAATACCTTTACCGTCATCCGTATTAGTATTATTGTTATTATTATTATTATTACTGTCATCATCATCATATAGTGTTTACTTTCCCTCACGTGATAGAATTTTTCAAATATCATATATATACGGGTGTACAGCTTGAAAATAAATTCGTTGTCAAGATTCTCTTCGCTAAATATGTTGTTCGTAATGTTACAATGGGGATTATTAAATTTTCTTTAGGTCCTAAACAATCTTCTCTTCCCTTAATTTCTTGTTTTCTAGTTATTTCAGTCTAAAATCATGATTTACTGATTTTCTTCAACATCCTGCTGACAACAAGGAATGGTGATTGAAAATCTACTTAGTTATGACAAATTTCAAGGTGAAATTCATAGTTTCAAAATGATTAGAAAGTTATCCTTTCTTTTCAAGCGTGTAATTATCAGAATGAGGGAACAACAAGCTGGGGCAGGATATGCTAGGCGTTGTTAACAGTCTTGGAAACGCAACAGTGCCCTTCTAGCACTTCGATATAATATGGCGAAAGCGTCAGTTTACGCAGTAAATAACCTAATAGAATACCGGCGGTATTTTTAAGTTATTATTCATCACAGACTGACGTCATTTGGCTAATCATTAAAAACTTCGTGAACGTCAAGATACATTACTGTATAGTGCTCATCAGTAACATGCCTCGAGATGAATATCCACAGCTTCTAAGTAGAAGCTGTAATCTGTGGGGTCAACCAGTCAAAAGTGAAGAAGATTCCAAGTGAATACCTTGGGTGATGGTCACGCATATCGATAGAAGTATGAAACTGTGGACCATTGAACTCGGACTTACTTATTGAGTGGTTATCGCATTCACCGGGGAACCTTAAGGTTCGGAGTTCGATGCGTGGTATGGCAACGTCGTGGGTATTTACTCCTGAAGAATCAGTTGCATAGTTGGATGAAACAAGAGTTCTAAAATGGTAGAGAATATTTGTAACTCAGATCAATGGTTTTGGTTATATTGTGTTCTTTGAGCTGGGTTGTTTAGTCAACGAGCTTTCATCATCTTGCTAGACAACATCATCAACACTAACTTAGGTATAAAGTTCATTGTTCAGTTCTCACTGGTTTTCAATGGTTTTCCAATTGATTTTGGTTTATTATAAGTATCATCTTAAAAATGAAATACCCGTAAACCTCAAACTACACATATGGTGTTAATACAATATGCATATTCCCTTTAACAGAACTAAAGGTGTAATCATAAATATGTTTGAACAGAATTTTCGTTAGGCAAGTAGAAAATTATGGGCACTCTATTGTAATCTAATTATCAAACTAATGATGTAGAAAAACAAACAAATCAGGTGATATCAATGCACTTATAACCAAGTTCATCTAGAAACTAGTGAAATAGGAGAGTTTCTGATTCCTTTGTTGATAGACAGTAAATAGCATATAGATTTTAAGAATTCAATTCAGGTCTTTATGGATTATAAAATTTTATTACAATCTGACTTATTAAATTGTCTGGTGAAAAACTACAGTCTCAAATTGATCAATACTCACAGTCTGGTATGTAATATTTTACTGGAAACATATGTAATACTTAAAAATGGTATGCCTCAATTCACCGACTTCAGTATCACTTATAAGAAATGATAAAATAAGGGTAAGTTCAGTAATACTTCAACTTTATGGCCTTGAAAATGTTAATCAGAAGGCTGTTCTTCTTCGTCTATTTCTTAACATGAAAATCTACAACATCATACGACTGCTTAATAATTAATCGAAATATTTCAGCTGATGAAGAATCAAATCAGTAATAACAATACATATGATTCATTCAGCTTCATTAAATGTATCATAGATGTCAACATATACAGAAAGCATATGTTGCTATTGAACATCAAGTCATTCTTCACAAATATCACTTTGATTGCAAAACATTTGATTATTCTAAGATCAAAAACTTGAAAATGAAATTCCTAAACATTCTCTTACGGTACACCTTAAATCTACATTTTACTTTTACTGATAAACTTTACCAACAAACAGATGGGGTAGAAATGGATTCACCAATATCTCCTCTCATAGGTGATCAATTCATGGCTGGATAGTCTGAAGAACAGTAAATTAAATACACCATTCAACTAATTCCACCTACATAACATATATATATATATGTATATGGATGACATTTTCATCATCTATGCGAAGGTCAGTAACCCTGATGATAGATTACAAAAATTTCAATGATTATCACAAGTCAATTAAATTCACCATGGCAACTGAAAAGAAACTGGAATCGCACTTTCTGCACCTTATATAAGAAGAAGAGATGATGATTCGCTAGAGAGATCAATTTATACATCACGAACCTGGAGTCGTCAATTTACTCATTTCTGAATCTGGATTCCATTAGTCAACAAAAGAAATCTTATTCATTCACGACGTACAAGAAATAGAAGAATTTATACAGATGATGCAGTCAATAAGGAGATGGAAGAGTGTTCATCGAGAATGATTATCCTTCAAAATTCATTGGTAGGAATAATAACAGGAAGGAACGTCTACAATCCCAAAGAAGACAATGTTTATGAATACTGGATTCAAGGGAGATAGATAGATTGGCAGATATACTGAAGAATCGAACGTGTGAAGCACTGAAGAAGAACTTCTTTTCCGTCCAGCTTGCGATTGTTTTCTCCAGTCAACAAGTGATTCAAAGGTGTGTAACTAGTGAACTTCCAATTTTCAGTCACCTGCATAAGTAAGTGTTTATCAATTCATCTGCTCGTGTCCAGCTGATTACATTGGTCGTACAAACCGTGTTCTATCTGAACGTGTCTTCAAACACCATTCTGCATACCTGTCAAAATGAGAGTGTAAAGCCATCAACAGCACAATTCTTGAGTATTCATTTAACTCTGATCACTGTACTCCACGACAGTCTTCCTTTGATTTCATTTATGAAATGAAGTGAAACAATTCGAATGGAGTACTTGTTAGCCTCTCAACACACCAGAGACATTGGCAATCCAGAGATACAAGTGCGATGTTTGCATTCAATAGGGATACTTTCAATCTGTAATTCTGTATTGATCATAAACTCTCTAAGACAGTTTATTCATTTCTTTCTTCATCTACTATAATCCTCTAAGCAGTTTTAAATCACCTAGATTTGATCTTCTAACCGTTATCACCTTGTGACTTTATTCACTGTTTTTTGATGGCTTAATACTGATGAATATACACAGATGTTGCGTTATAACTATGGAATCGATGTGCAGCTGTTGAAAGTGATTCGTTGAAAAGGAAAGTTTCTTTACTGAATTGTATTTCCTCATTTTTTCATATTATCTGATGGGACTGTTTCGGTGATGTAACTGCTTTCAATTATTATCACTATTACTGTTTTTCTTTTGGGTTCTTAGTGGAATATAGGGCTTGAATAGGACAGCGGCATTTCACTCTCTTCTCTGCAGTCGTTCTAACCTGGCTGCACGATTGCCCATAAACTTTCATTTCCTACTCATACCATCTCATCCATGTCATCCTCACCTCACACGCCCAACTCGTCGTTTCCCATTTGGGTTCCACTCGACAGCCCGGCCTGAAGCGTGATGTCCTCAATCGGCCTTCTCAATGTATGCCCAATCCATCTCCACTTACTTCCACTGCATATTTTGTTGGGTGATAGGTTCCTGGTTGGTTGGTTGGTTCGTTGTCAGGTCAGAGTTCCTTCTTGCTCATTCTTTCTCTCCTTCCCATCTCATCTAATGTTGTTCACGCATTTGTGCTGAGTGGAGTGGAGTGCAGTAGATCCCCACACTGATTTCAGGTTAATGAAAGCTTACCTTGCTTTTCTGATTCTGCCTTGACGTTCTCATCTGTGCCACCTGTATTTGAAACGATTCTGCCTAG